ATCTATCTATCTATCTATCTATCTATCTATCTATCTATCTATCTATCTATCTAAAAATCTCCCTATCTCTCTTTCTCTCTCTGTCCTATTATTGTAATTAGGAAATACTCTTCTTATTGATTTCAACAACAAAAACTGCAATAGATAAGAACTCCATTTTTAAAAAAGATGGATAACTTATTATTCTCAGATACTAGCTCATTTTACTGAGAATAGCTGTTTATCACAATTCAACAATAACACATTCTTGCAGTTATCAGATCACACTATTCAGATTGGTGGCAAGTGATATTAAAGAAGAGAAATCACTTTCTTCACATTTATCTGGCACTGTATTTTCTCTTAAAGCAGGAATCATGAAGTAAATTGTTACACACATATTGTGTTTTTCCCCAAAGGCATCCACTTACTTTAAATCTGGCAACATTCTAGGATAACATGCATTCTATATTGTTACACCAAATGAAACCTAAGTTAGAAGAGATCCACCTCCAATTCTTATGTATAGATGTAACCTTTGCAAATTTGGCAAAAAGCTGCCCTTATTATATATTCCCAACTGCTGTTGCTTATATGGCATCAAAAGCAAACATTATAGCCTGTAATCTACAATCTGGTGAAATTGGAACATTCTGCCTTAAAAAAATAAATAAAAGTCATTCATCCTACTTCTAAAAGATGTTTGCTTCAGCACCATCTGCCTGTGGTTATGTTCTCACGGTCCCTAACTTGTACTCAAGACTTTGCAAGCACTTACTAGGACCAGAAGGTGGCTCAGGAATTCGGGGAATTGGAAGTCCGCAAGTCATAAAGCGAGGCCATGGTTCCCCCACCTCTAATTTAGAGGATAAACAAAAATAGAAGGCACTTACTTTGTAGTCCAGAAGAGAGCTCATTTGATCCACTTCAGAATTGCTTATCATATCGCTTTCTTCATCATCTATTATTTCTATTTTCTTAAAGAAAAAACAAACAGTGTATTTCATTTTTGAAAGCAAGGTCAGAAACTCATCCTCCACAAGAAGCTTTCCAAGACTGGATATTCTGCATTTTGATTTTTTTCTCCCCCCCCCCTCCTCCTGCAATTCCAGGGGTGGGATTCTACCTGGTCAGACTGGTTCTATAGAACCGGTTGTTATGATTCTGCCCAGTTTGGAGAACCAGCAAATCGCGCCACTGGCTGGATCCTCCCCTCCTCTCCCTGCCACACTCCTTACCTGGCATGCACACCATCAAACTTGCCTGCTAAGTTGCTATTTTTCCTTCCCCCCCCCTCCCGACCATCAGCTGTTTTGCTGTGCCAGGAAATTTATATTTGCTAGAAAGCAGGAAATCGGTGTATTTCTTGCTTTCTAGCTGATCTAAAAGCAGAGCTGAACCTTCCTTAGGACTGAAGCTTCTATTTTTTAGTGAAGACTCAGGTAGCAGATTGCAGAAAGATAGATCTCTGGATGAATTTGTGATTCTGTGAGCAACTCAATCTGCCTGCCTGTTTTGTCTGATTTTGGGTAAAAGTTGCTCTTTTTTTAAATAAAAATTCAATATTTACATAAATATTTATAATATTTACATACAAGCCATGCCCAACGAGTCACATGGCCACCAAGCCACACCCACAAATTAGGCCATGCCCACAGAACCAGTTGTTAAGAAATTTGAATCCCACTCTTGCTCAATTCTATGGCACAACACTAAGCCCTTCAGATATCAGTCCATCAAGATTTGCGGTTTTAATTTAGTAAGCTGATTTTAGGAAGTGTTCTCACCACATTATCTGAAGATACAGTAGCATGGTCCTCTTCTTTGTGGCCAATGCCTTCATTTGGAAGAATTTCATTGTGTTCTTCTGCAGAAATAAACAATGATGTAGTTCTAAGCAAAGTGCTGATCTAAAATAAAGACTGTCAGAAAATCTCCAGAAAGAAAGCAAAAGCATGTGTCCACTTCACAGACAGTTATGAAAAACTTAAGTCAAATCAAATGTGTCTATATGCTGTAATTAAAAGAGTTAACAACAAAATGAATTTTTAAAAACCTCAAGATTGTTAGAACTTCTGATTATTATTTTTTGCTTCTCTTGAATCATCTTGTTTTTCTTCTGAAATAGCGATGCTAGAATTAAACTCTGCATGGTAGTGACAAAAATAATGAATCATTATTCGGTCTCAGTACTGAGCACCTCTTCGCTTTATCTTCTATCCAAGACACAGCATATAAGTGATGCTTGAGCAGGGTCTGCAGGATTGTCTGGGATGCTATACCTCCTCTACACAACCTGTTTTCCTTGTTACCTTCTGAGAGGACGGGGCTTTGTGGTATACGAAGCAGAACATCCAGATTCAGCCACAGTTTTGTTGCATATAGCATCAACCTTGTGAACCCTAAAGTTTCCTCTTTCCGCTAAGTATTCAAAAATGGACAGTATGCATGTGTGTGTGTGTGTGTGTGTGTGTGTGTCTGTATAGATAGACAGACAGACAGACAGACAGACAGACAGACAGACAGACAGATAGATATAAACAGATAGATATAGATAAACAGAGAGAAAGAGAGAGAGAGAGAGACCGGTAGATAGATGATAGACATAAATAGATCGATTGATAGATCAATATAGATAGCTAGATATAGACAGATACCAGTAGATAGATAGACAGATAATATAGGTAGGTAGATAGATAGATGCATATAACACACACATACATATGTATATAGGTATGTGTATATGTATGTATATATGGTTAAATTGGTTAAACCAAATGATGAGATCAAGCCTGGCATATCTATCCATTAATGTGCCCTAGAAACAGGCTATGTTTGACGTACCCAAGGCAAAACCTTGGCAATTTGTTCCAGTCAAACAAACCAGGAGCGATTAGCTGAACTGTGAAGTTGGTAAAACATGAACCCCTGTTCATTTTTAACTGACAGACTTATTGTTGCTTGTACATTTTAAAACACACTTCTGGCATCATGGCAGCCTGCTTCTGTCACTTGTTAGGTTGCTAAGAATGGAGTCTAACTCTAAAGGATCCTTCTCAGCTGTCTTAAAGGTTCGGTGCCAAGTTATGAGTCTGTGCCTCTCTTCTCCCCAAAAAATTAATTATCCCTTTAGAGTTATCCTGAAAAGCAAAATTTTATCTAGACTTGGATTGTCCAAATGAACAATGAAATACTCAGACAAGATACATATGCAAAATTATGTTGGCAAAAATCCTGGCCCAGGCTGACTTTTTAACTAGGATTAGGGGGTATCGGTAGAAAATTGGCAAAAAAATATGTCATAAAAACCAGGCATGACTCATTTTAACGGCTGCCTTGCTTATCAATGTAAATTGTGGTCCCAGTTGTGGTGATAAGTCAAGGACAACTTGCATTGCAAATCCTGAAGGCCCCATGTGGTTACAATGCCAATGGCAGCTTTGAATACCATGGTCAACTCGCCATGGCCAACTCACCACGGGAGAACTCCCTGAGAGACCATTCAAAAATTCAACTTAATTATTTAAAATAAAATTAATTGTCGTCATTCACATTTCATTTTATCTCTCCTTTGGCATCCTTTCTTTAATGATTCTATTCCACTGTTTCTTCGATATTAATGTAACTGTTGTCCTGCAAGAAGTTGTAATGTGATGAGTTGGCCACAGCAAGTTGGCTGTGGCGAGTTTCTTCCGTGGCGAGTTGGCCACAGCAAGTTGTCGTAGACCCACCTTGGGAGCTTCCTTCCGATAAGCAGATGGACACTTCATCATTCCTGTCATTATCATCTCCTATATCAGTCAGGGGGTCATCGCCTGGAATGGGTACCGATTTATCACTGGAATCAGATTGACTCGAAAAAACGGCAGGCCCCCCTCGTGGAGGAGGCACTTCAATGCCCATCAAACGATACTTCCGCCTCCTATTTCCAATCCAAGTCTTGGGTGAGGAAAAAGATAGGGGGGAAAATCAAGACGTTATCACTGATCCCAAAACTGAAATATTAAGGAAGCTACAATCACAACTACAGTCATTCAAGAAGGAACACATTTGCATTATTGAAGTTTCTTTGGAGATACGTAGATGGCAAAATTCCACATAAGATTTAGAACCCAAGAGAAACTTAACGGAATTTCAACGTATGTTCTCATTTCTTCTCTGCTAATTTTATCACCTCTAATCCAATTAGCTTTGGATGAAAAGCTGTTTACATATTGATTATCGATGAATGAATGTCTAAAATGTATCATTTGAAGTTTTAGAATTAGAGGCACCTTAATAGCAATTACCAGATTTGGCTAAGAAAAGGAAAGAAATACAAAGAAAATACATTTAGAAAGAATTGGATGGCGAGGGCTGCCCTAATTATACCTGATTTCTAAATTGAAACACTTAAAAGCACAAGTGAAAAGATGTGCATAGGATTATTTAGTCTAAAAACTGGTCTTGAGGCAGTATTATATATAGAACAGAAAGATATAGGACATCAGGGGTCCTTGGTACTCTCTGAACTTGCTTGGTTTCTTGCAAATGTTTCATTACTCTAACTAAGTAAGGAGTGCTGTTACAGATATAGGACATTCAGAATATTCAACAAATGTTTGGGGATGAGGAGGTTTTATACCATTTAACGACTGTTTCAAAAAAAGGTAAAATCATGAGCAATCACATGGTGATCTGCTTAACGACTGGGACAACTTATGACCATAATTCTGGGCTCAATTATAGTTGTAAATTGAGGACTAGTTGTAATTCTCATGAATTCCCAGCCTTTCTTCACCTCATCATTCATCATGTAGGATGAAGTTGATGCACAAGAATCTGGTCAAGTAAGGTCAGCACTAAATTGGGACCAGATAAGGGCCAATGGAATTCAAGAGGGACCGGACTTGGCTTATTTACGGCAACAGAAGGACTCTACGCTGATGATACATTTTATTCCACCTTCTAGCTCTGATTACTCTCCTCCTACACATACAATGTATTGTATTCTCAAGTCCCCAAGTTGTGACGACCCGGGGCGTGGCACAAAGGCAACACAGTCAGATGATCAATAAGAGTCCCTTTATTATCTCCAACTTTGCCCTCAGGTTACCTTCTGGCTGGAGAAAAATTCTCCCAGGAACAGCCTTTGACTGCAGAAAATTCAGTCCAAAACAAGGTAAACACAAACTGTAACTTAAAGTCCAAACAAGCCAAACTGAAGTAATCAGTTTGGCAGGGCAGGAGCAAGAATTTCAGACTTGAAAGCATGGCAAAACTCACACAGTTGGGAAGACAACAGGAACACAGAGAAGCCACGATAATATAAGTTAGTCACTTTGTTCCTAATAGCCTGCCGCACGCAGCTTGCCTTTTTTATAAACTGTGTTCCCAGCTGCAGCTAATGAAGGGAATCAGGGCCCTCTCCTCCCCTGTAAGCCATGCAACCCACGTTGCTCTCTTCTCCGTTCCTCCCTGCGTGCCCTAGGATGAAGAGGGGGTGGGCCCGGGTCTTCCTCTAAATTCCCCCTCCCTTGTTCTACTTCTCCCCTTCTCTGACCAGCCAGACTTTGGCCTTTCCCAGTTTCCTCCACAGCCAAAGGAGCCACACTCCCACTCCATGTCAGCTGTTCATCTTCCTCCTCAGATTCAGACTCCGACAGGGGCATGACACAGGTATTCAAGCAGAGTTTGCCAAGTTTTCAAATTGGGAAGAAGGATCATACATGCAAAACATTGCTCTTATCTTTTCGTCTTTTTGGGGGGGTGGACAAAACTCGGCTTCCTTCTACAATACGAAGAACTAAAATACAACTGTTACTCCTTTTCAGCTTTCAGTTTAAAAAATGATATAAATCTCAATACAATTGAAGCATCAGACATCTAACATATAGTAGCTATCAATAAATGTCTTACCTAAGGCATGGTATCTATAAATAGGCAGGAACCAAAGCACTTCCTAATGTAACCTTTCAATAACACGTGCAATCTATTTCGGTCTAACTCTTGCAATTCAGAAAAAAAAAAGAGAAAACTTTCATCGAGGCTATTTTAGTTTCTACAAACATAAGTTTCTTACCCTTACTATTTCACAGTCAACATTTAATTCTGCAGCAACGGCTTCAATTTTCTCTCTGCAAACCGATCCAAGGCTGGTCATGCCTTTATCCCAGTATTTCTTAAGGGTGGCTAAATCTCGGTCGCTGAATTGTGTACGGTCCTGTAACTGTAAAACAAGCACATATCCTTTTTCCCCCCTCAATGAAAAGTGCAAAAAAAGCAGACAAGGATAGGCAGTGAAGATGAAGATCTTCTTAACCAGAACGGGACAACTTGCTGCCGCCAATTTGCCACGGCCAACTCACCATGGTCAATTCACTGCAGCCAACTCGTGGGAAAACTTGCCATGGCTAACTCACCGTGGGACAATTCAACAATCAATGTAATTATTTAAAATAATTAGAAATTATTTTAATTTTTGTCATTCACAATTAATTTTGTCCCTCCTTTAGCATCCTTTCTTTAATGATTCTACTGGATTATTTCTCTGATATTAATTTAACTCTTGTTTCATGGAGAGTTGTCCCGTGGCAAGTTGGCCATAGCAAGTTGTCCCACAGTGAGTTGGCTGTTGTAAGTTGGTTGCAGCAAATTGTCAGTCCCTTTCTCAACATCAAGTCCTACTTATACTTATACCATCTGGTCAAAAATCTTGGTTTATTTATAACGTCGGTTAAAACAAATTATTCTAAAGAAATAGGTGTAAAATTGAGAGACTTGTTACAAATTAGCACAAGCTTAGTCACTTGTACCAAATTAAAATGGCTGCATTTAGCTGCAGAATTTTGCAATCTTTTACCTTGAAAAACAGAACGCACCATTGTTTGGAAAAAGTACAAGGACAGGGGTGTGCACGCACAAATATGCAAAGATTATTAAATGCAGTCCAGAAACTTGGAAAAAGAACATAGCAATGTTCCAGGAAGTTTCCACGGTCAAATTAAATCTTTTTAAACTACAGTCAGTGATCAGCAAGGCTCCATTATGGACGCAAGTTGAGAACTACCTGTACCTCAGGATCAGCCACTGAACCTGATAGGCAATAAATAGTACATTTTAAAAATTCTGCAACTCACAACCAATAAATTCCGTGTTGCCCAACAACCTGAATAGCTTATAAAAAGACTCAGGCAATTATTATGTCAATACCTATATAACTAATTCAGTATTTGAAAAAAAGGGGAATATAAGATCTTGCAGAACAAAAGGCTTCATACATATGAGTTTCCCAAGAGATCCGGCCAAACTTCAAAATACAAAGATTATTTCAATTTTTGATCTTTACACTAGAATTCTTAGAACATTAAAAGCAGGATTGCTATCTTCGCCCATGCTCTCTCCTAACAATGAAAAATAAAAAAAATTGGCTTGATTCGCACTAGTATTTTGATTATATTGATAAGAAGTGAAGAGATTAATGTGCCATAATCCAAATCAATCATATACAAAATTAGAGAAAAGCTCAGCTTTTTAATATATATTTATTATATATATATTATATATATTTATATATTTAATATATTTATTAAGGAGTCATTTATAGACCATGGCTTAAAACATTAAGAAACTTTGCTTTAGATCAGTTTTCAGAATGTTTCAGAAGATTATTCTGGTCACAAAACCAACTTGTTAATAGTTTGTTATACTACCATAACTGGAGACAATGACAAATTGCTTTATTTCGTTTGCAAAACTCATTTGAATACAATTTCCCTGTGCAAATGAAGATTATGTAAAAGTCTAGAAATTGGTGCCATTTGTTAGACTACAGCTTCTGCAAACAGGTTTAAAACGGCCTTGAAAGCATTTTTAATTGCACCGATTCAGGCTATTTAACACCAACACAAATTAATATAAGATAGTTAAACAACAACATTAAAGAGGAATCTGTGCAATTTTTTTTTTTTGAAAAAGTAGATTTAGAGTTATTGCAGAACTAAAAGATTCACAGCTTTTCTGTTCTAATGCTTTTTCCTTTGTGCCCCACAGCCTTGATTTCACTTGCCTGAAATTAAAAGAGAAAGAAAAAAAAAGAAAGAAAAAACTATTTGGAAGCAGACAGAATTTAAACTGAGACTAATGGTCAGTCGAAATGGACTATAAATTTGGACTATGAAAGTTCTACTTTGATAGCCCACAACTGAAACTGTCTTCATTATTCTTGGGATGAGCAAGGCTCATCTTTCAAAAGATTTATTTTGTTTTCCAAGTGCCACGTTGTTTTAACCCTAATTAGGTTTTCCAGTTCCAGTTGCTTTTAAAAATACCACTCCATTGGTACAATTATTTTCCAGCCTTTTTTTATTATTGTGATGCTGTCACTGAAACGCAAGAACAAAAACTATTGATTGATATAATTAATATTAAACCAATTCATAACAGTTAATGGGCAGGATTTTTGAATAACAGAGTATAATAACTTTAATTGACTACTGCCTGCATTGATAACAATCCCCCAAAATTTACAGGGCTGCAAAAGAAAAACAACTCAAATCAGAATTATTCCATGCAATGATGTTTCTTGGAAAAATAACGAAAATACTTCTCACTGTTGGCTAAAATTCATTGTAAGCTACTCAGAGCTATGCAGCGTATAAACATACGCAACAAATGAACACACAATCTAAAGCTGAAGGTTGGTGCAGTTTCACAAGATGTACTCACTGCTCTTTTCCTGGAGCACCCAGTAATCCAAGGCACAGTAAGGTTTCCTGAAATCTGTGGAAAATAAAAAAAAA